AAGCCAACCCAGTGATACTTGAACCATTTAATCGAGGATGATAATATATTCTATTCATCAGTAGGAGTAGGAGTAGGAGCCTGGCTCGGTGTCGATGAACTCGACTGGTTGAGTTGCATAGATTTATTCACCATATGGGCCATATTGGGAGTTGTGTAGGCTGCAAAAATAGCATTACTTGCAAAAGGAGCAGCTAAATCTGTAGGGACATCACTAGCAGAGCTTGAGTTTCTATGTGCTTCTGCTCCCGGCACTACACTCCCTCTAGTTGCGGCTCTTTGATAAGCATGTGAGCTCATTCCCGAGAGTGCATAAGCTCGACCTCGTATGTTGTACAACTGACGACTTCCCATTCTATCTTCAGTTTCTTTAAGTCGGCTTCAAGCCAGTTACTGAGACCGTCCCCTGCTTGGGTAGATGCCGACGCACGAAGTCTTTCCCTCCTTCTTGACAGTGCAGCCCGTGCACCAGTTAAATTTCCAGTCTCTGCAATCCTTTGAGCCTCAGCAATGCCTTCTGCTGCTGATAGGCGATTTCTCTGCCGATCTACTTCCAAGTTAACTGCCGTATCTGCAGGGGATGGAACTTTCGGTCGACGTATCTCGACTAGGTCACCTTCTACACGGACCATCTCTTTTGATACAACGTCTCTATAAGAACACACTACATCCAAAATCAATGTCTTTCCCTCATTTTCTTCATTTTCAGCACCTCGAAGTACTGGAACCGACAGGTTGACCAGAAATTCTTTTTCCTCATCCGCATACAGGTCCCCAACATTGATTACACCTTGACATCCTTGATCAGAGATTTCGCTTGCATATCTTCCAGAAGGAATTGATATGATTTCCACACCATTTGATGCTGACCTCACAGTTATTCGCAGTTCTTGAGCCACCACGCTTAGAAGACCACCAATACAGCTTGCAAAAGCATCTTGCACCATTTCATAAGATTCAATGAAAGAGAAGGTGCCACCTGATTCATCGGATATGGCATGCATTGCAACAGGATCGTGATCCGTACCAAAACCGAATGTGTGGACTGGAAATCTTTGCTGCTGGCTTTCATCTTGGCTTCCTCTGTTTCTAGGACAGATCGAATCAGGCATAAGATGTAGATATTCAGGATTTAGTCTGGGACTTTGTCCTGGATTTGAGGAATTTTGAATTATTGACCTACGGTAGCAAGTATCCTTCCCATCAGATAAGAATATGATGCTTGCAACTGGATTCTGCAGATGCCTTTCTTCAAGAACACGAACCCCCTTCTTCAGGCCTTCCACAATATTAGTCATACCACTTGCTTGAAGTGAATCAATAGCCCTTCTAGCATCTTCACGGCCATTGCCAGTTATTCTACGCAAGGGAAAGATTCTCCGAGCAGTAGATGAGAAAGAAACTATTGAAAGTCGGTCAGAAGGTCCCAAGTTATCTACGACAAAGTGAGCAGCTCGCTTCAGGAGATGTAACTTTGAGCCATGCATACTGCCACTAACATCTAGTACAGTAACAAGGTCAATAGGCGCACGCTCAAGGTGCCGTGCATTATCTGATAGTGGAGGTGCACGTACTCCAACAAGAACTGCAAACTGAGAGATGGATTCAGAAGCTGCAAGCACGGGACGTTCAGGAATGGACTTGACATTGACACTTTGCAGACCAGCAAGTGAAGAAGAAGAGGTAGGTTCGCTATTGATTATGGGTAAGGGCTCATCATCAGAGAAAACAAGAGACTCGGGCTCAGATGGAGGAGTTGGCAGCGTCAGTGGTTGAGAAACATTGGAGAAGTGAGTAGGGAATTGTCGGGGTGGAACATTAGGGTCGAAGTTGGGCATAGAGACAGGGAGACAATTCCATTTTGCACGGCAAATAGGGCAATTGAAATTGCCATGTGAGACACTATCGCCAATGCAGCCAAAGTGGAACGAATGGGAGCACTCGGCTGTAAAGATGGCTTGTCCTGTTGTGACATTACCCAAGCAAATAGCACATGTATTCTGCGACAAAAATGAAATTTCAAAGCATTTAACTTACTAAAATCAATATCTGTGCAAATGATACCGTAAAACTCATAACACCAAAATTTTTCAGCTTAAGGATTTTTTTCAGCTCATCAACTATGGAAGGTAAAAGTTTAATCTAAACCAAAAGAAAAGAAAATTCTGTATACAGGTAACTATTAGATTTCATATAGTTGATATTATTATTAAATCCCATTTGTTGCTTCAAGAGATTGTTGATATCCCATCTATCAAACTACAGTCATCCATTAGTCCTACTGATCCAGAGAAGATTGGAAAACTCAGGATATTAGGGTGATGTTTCGATACATTCTGAAAAAACGATTCTGGGGTGAACTGATTAAAGACTATAATTATCATTACTTCAGCACAAGACTATTTCTTAAGCAACCTAGAATTTTTATTATCGCGCATACAACAGTAAACTCCACGTGTGAAATTCAACATTTCCATGTGAAGACCGTACCCCTCCCTCGGATCATAGAATTCCAAATATTGAACCAGTAAATCTACTAATAAAAATTATAAACCACTATAACCTGCAACCCATTAAGCAATCAATTAAAATTGTATTATTCTTGGAAATTCTAAAAGTCGTGATGTCAATAAATAGATCACCAAATGTTATACTTAAACCCTGCTGTGGTAACACAGTAAAACAAATATCTGTTCTCTAATCTACTAAAACAAGTCAATAAGCATCAATTTCTTTCTAAATCAGTCTTAAAACTTCAAACCCTGATAGAAACAACCAATTTTTGAAGAGTAAACGGATTTTCTTTTCAAGTCAACCAATTTACCCGATAATCATAACGGTTATAGCACCCAACACATGATCAGCGAATTCAAAGAACATCGAGAACATGAACATTCATATTTCAAATAAATATATAAAATCGTGCATATACACCCAAAAAGATAAAGAAGAAAGGGAACAAATCTTACACTTTCTGTTGAGCTCATTTTTCTTGCGTTAGTCTTGTACTAAGGAGGTGGGTTTTTGGAATATATATAGGGAAAAAAAGAAGAAGGATGAGGAGGAGGAGGAGGAGGAGGGCCCCATTAACTTGCCTACGTGTAGCTTTTATGTTAAGGCTCCGGAGTTGTCCTTGAATCCATCGTCTGGACGTGTCGCTTTCAAAGAAATCCTTGGTTATGCTGACTTTTTTGTTACATTGTAATTCCCGGATGAATTACTCTTCTTGTACAATCGAGGTTGACAATCCTATTGACATTGGAACTTTGGAAGCCAAATTATGTATAATTTTCTATAAAACAAGAGTGGGTAATTGCACCGTCATCTGTTCATCATATGCTCACATACAATCGCATTGAGTTCTTTTTTACTTTCAATTTTCAGTTTTCCTCTTGTAAGAGCTGTTGACTTCAAAATCCGAGCGGATCCCGTTGCTAATAGAACAAGTCGAGTTTCTGTCCCTTTATATTGCGCAAAGACACCATAAGAGTGCAATTCAGTAGAATCGGGATAGTTCGATGACCCTTTGCATCTAAATTTTGGGTGAGGGAGATACAAATGAAAATGACCTATGTATATACAGAGTAGAATATATATTGGTCGGTTAGATGTCATGTCATAGTTCATTATCATGTCACAATTGTTTGTAGGTTGATATTTGATTAGAATTGCTTTTTTATTGGCTCGGCTAGTTTGCTATAGCTTTCGGTTGCATCACAGTCTAAATAATGAAATATCGATTGCTTAATAAGTTCACTTAGACTAATGACTCGTCACATGTATACCACATTTTGATGATTGGTTTAGGTATGAGCAGTGGTCATTAAATCAAAATCCTACTACCGAAAAAGTAAATTCATTACTTGAAGAATCAAAATAGACCAAAAACATTCGTCATATAGGAAATAAAAGTGAAATGGGCACAGCTTAGAGAAAAGAAGAAACTCATTTGGATCTTCATTAGTGATTCTCGTATAAGGATCCATAGAAGTCATTGAAATTTTCGAGTAAAAGGATATGTTAGAGAAATTTAAAAAATAAAAAAATAAAAAAAAATTTATATAAAAGACTCAGGAGAAAAATTAATCTATTTCCGTGCAAAGATTATTGACCATATTTTATGATCAAGATTGTTTTTCATCAACAAACTTGTTTAATCTCATCAAGATTGTTAACTTTTCATAAATCGATGTCATATATTGATTTCTTTAATCTCTTCATATTTGTTGAATCACTTTAAAATTGTTAGTTCCTCCTCTAAACTTGATGAGAAATTACAACTAGATAAAATATATACGGACTTGAGAAGGTAATATGTAAATAATTAAACAGAAACATTAAGGGGCTGTTCTCTTTGCTGTTTTCATGCTGTTCTATGTTTTCGATTTTCTAAAATAGTAAAAACGCATTCTTTTTCCTATTTTCGAAAATGAATTTTTGAAAAAAAAAATTATATATATATACACTGAAATCTCAAAACGTCATATTTGACATTTTGAGTGTTTTCAGTACAAAACGCGGCAAACATTTAATGGTCCTATATATAGTTTGTAGAGATGTAAACTATTTATAAGTAAACTAGGATGAAGCTAAAAAATTATGTTGGAAGATCTAATATATAGTCATGAACCGGGTTCTCCATTAATATACTTATCATTATGTTTTATGATCAACACCATAATATAATAATACTCTATTATAATATTGTGATTAAATATTATATTATTATATACTGTGAACCTGTCCAATCGTCGGTAGAATAAATAATGTAACTTTTAATCTTTCGCGGATAAATATAATTGAATATTAAATTATAACAACATATTGTATTTTTGAAATTAAAATAATATGATAAAAATTATAACTGTTGTAATGAACAGAAACAGTGATTAAAACAACAGATCAATAGATTGAGAAATGAAAATTGCAAAATAGAATATAGGAACCTTTTCAATCGAAGCCCCAGAAATTAGATGATCATTTCTAACACCTAATCCACTGTTGAACGATTGTAGCACAAAAAGCACGCCAAAATGGCAATTAAGGTACAATAACGTTCCATATTATTTAACATGATTAGCATAAAGACTATCATTTATGATGCAGTAATCCTAAATAATACCAGCTCTTAATCCACAAAGATTTGACATGAAGAAAGGCGTTTTCAAAGTGAAACTTTGAGCTCAACTTACAACACAGAAGGACTTTGAACTACACAATGTTACAAATGATAATATAAATTTCCTATTATACAAGGTACGAAATATGACTAGTACTGCAAGACTTGATATTGTATCTACCAAGAAAGCATTGGAATGGGAAATTAAGTACGATAATTTTCTGATAATCGATCCAAACACAGTCGAGCTGATAGAATGACCAACTGATGATAAGATATTTTATTCCTTACTTGGAGTTGATGCGCTTGTCTTGTTTAGTTGCTGAGATTTATTCACCATATTGGCCATATTAGGAGTTGTGTAGGCACCAAAGCTAATTTTAGCTGCAGCTGGTGCAGAGAAAGGAGTAGTGGAGGCTTGTCCAAAGCTCAAAGTTTGTGCTTCTGCTCCCGGCACTGCATTGCCTCTAGTTGTGGCCCTTTGATAAGCGTGTGAGTTCATTCCAGAGAGTGCAAAAGCTCGACCTGATTGTTGATACACCTGTCGACTTCCCATTCTTTGTTCAGTTTCTTTCAGCTCAGATTCAAGCCACGTACATAGACCATCACCTGCTTGGGCAGATGCTGAAGAGAGAAGTTTCGATCTCCTGTTCGAGAGCACAGCCTGTGCACCAGTAAAATTTCCTGTTTCTGCCAACCTTTGTGCCTCTGCAATGCCTTCTGCTGCCCATAGCCTATTTCTCTGTCGATCAACCTCCAGGTGAACTACCTTATCTTGGGGAGAGACAACTTTTGGTCGACGTATTTCAACTAGGTCAACTTCTACTCGGACAATCTCTTTTGATACAATATCTCTATAAGAACACACTATATCCAAAAGCGATGTCTTTCCCTGACCTTCTTCATCTTCAGCACCTCGAAGTACAGGGACCGACAAGTTGATCAGAAATTCTTTTTCCTCATCCGCGTAGAGGTCCCCGACATTAATTATGCCTCGACAACCTTGATCGGAGATTTTGCTTGCATATCTTCCAGAAGAAATTGATTTGATTTCTACACCATTTGACGCCGATCTCATAATTATTTGAAGCCTCTGGTTCACCACACTTAGTAGACCACCGATACAGCTTGCAAAAGCATCTTGTATCATTTCATAGGACTCAATGAAGGAAAAGGTGCCGCCCGATTCATCAGAAATGGCATGCATTGCGACAGGGTCGTGGTCTGAACCGAAACCGAATGCATGGACAGGAAATGTTTGCTGCTGGACTTGATCTTGGGTTCCTCTGTTTCTGGGACAGATGGAACCAGGCAAAAGATGTAGATATTGTGGAGGCTGTGAGGAAGTTTGAAAAAATAAGCCACTGGAGCAAGTGTCCTGTCCATCAGATAAGAATATGATGCTTGCAACTGGATTTTGTTGACGCCTTTCTTCAAGAACACGGACCCCCTTCTTTAGTCCTTCGACAATATTAGTCGAACCATTTGCTACAACTGAATCAACGGCCCTTTTCGCATCTTCTCGGCCGTTGTCAGTCATTCTGCGCAAGGGAAATAATCTACGAGCATCAGATGAGAAACAAACTATAGAAAGTCTGTCAGAAGGGCCCAAGTTATCTACGACAAAATGAACAGCACGCTTCACCAAATTTAACTTTGAGCCATTCATGCTGCCACTAATGTCTAGTACAGCAACAAGGTCAATAGGTGCACGATCTAAGAGACATGCATTATCTGATAGAGGTGGTGCCCGTACTCCAACAAGAACTGCAAATTGAGAGAGGGATTCTGAAGCAGCAATGGCAGGACGCTCAGGAATGGACTTGATTTTGACACTTTGTAGCCCATCACGTGAATCCGAAGAATTAGAATTAGCAGTGATTGTGAGCAAGGGTTCATCATCTGAGAAAACAAGGGACTCGGGACCAAGTTCGGCCCATGGATCGAATGGTCGTCCAAATGCAGGTTGTGGCTGGATATGGAATCCAAAAGCTGAGGGTGGCGGGATTTGAAATCCAAAAGATACGGGATTTGAGGATTTTGGCGGAGGAACATTAGCAACAAAAGTAGGCATACTGAATGGGAGATTATTCCATTTGGCATGGCAAACAGGGCAAGCGTAATTGCCATTCGAGACACTCTTGCTAACACAGCCGAAATGGAAGGAGTGGCAGCACTCAGCAGTAAAGATGGCTTGGCCTTGCCCTGTAGCAAACCTCTTCGAGCAAATAGCACAAACATTCTGCAAACAGAATCAAATTTTATAAGCAATATCTTACCAAATCAGGCATTATTTATAGTGTCAGTACATGAGATTGAACAAGATAAGAACATATATATAGAAAGGCCGAAAAACTATGAAAATACACATCATATATTCGGCACAAGTCACAAAATGAACCATAAATTGAGAGAGAAAAGATGAATACTCGAATGATCATTCATTAATCATATTAGTTATACAGAAAGGGATTTCATGATGTGTCGATGCTTTAGTACAATTTTCGAAAATTGCGACTTGGCCAACTGACTACGGATTAAAATATCACTACGAGAAAAGTAATCTTTGCCATCGTTTCATTAATGGCAAGTACTTACTTCTTTGTGTCCTACACAGCTTTCCCTACAGGTTGATTATACATTTACATCCATGACAACAAAATAAAATTTCTTAATCAGCCCATTATAGCAAAATTCAACCTTTGTTCGATGAAATATCATTTTAGATATTGAGCCACAAAATCTACATATGAACCACATCAAACTTGCAACTGTTTAAGAAATCAATCAAAATTGTGGAAACTTTTTCCAAAATTCTTAAAAAATATGAGGAATTTAGAGAATAAATCACAAAATAGTTTACTCAAAACCTTGGAAACAGTAAAATTATCATGGCCAATCTAGAGAGAGAAAAAAAAAAGAAAAGAAAAAAAGAAAATTCATCCATGGAAGCAGATATGCATTAAGGAAAACGTCAATTTAGACATTTAGTACACAGTATAAAAGAAGAAAAAATAAGTCAGCATTTTGTGTACACCACCGTACTATGTTGTTTATACAAAACATGGGTAATGTATGTATATATATGTATCTCAAGAAAAAGAGGGAAGAAAACTTACAGTGTGTGCTGATGAACTCATTGTTTCTTTTGTTCTATTAGTGAGGGAGGTGGGTTTTTTCCTGTGGAATATATATAGAAGGGTCCCATTACGCGGTCTACGCGTTAAGATTTTGGAGTTTTTAATGAATGAAAAATGGTCGTTCGACGTGTCGCGTTTAAACAACGCTTTGGAAGTGTTGACTTTTTGTGACGTTGATTTTTTAAATAAAAACGGAAATAATTAAAAACAATAGAGGAAGATAAGTTCACGAGGTGGTTGTGGATACAAACAAATACTACGTATCCTTGCACGTAATTAGTCCGATTCTTCCTTTGTCATTATAAATAACCCATGTGGTTCGACTAGTTTCTAGCGAAACTCATCCCTATTAGTAACACAATCGATTTGTCAATTTTGTATCCTGCCGTTTTTAATACTACGTTTACAAGTGAAATTGCTTTGGGGGCAGATGTTGAGATTGGATTGACGATTTCTTGTAATTATCAATAGATATCCTTTCTTCTAAGAGATTTCTAGGTATAAATTAATCATATATAGATAATATTGCCTTAACTGTGGTAGATTTCATTGCCAAATTCTAGGAAAAAACAAGGTGAATAAAAAAGAAAAAAGTTGTCCCAATTTGTTAGGCAACACAAACAATGATAGCTAAGTAATTTAAGGCTCCAAAAGCCAAAAATCTGAGTTGGACAATAGACTTTTTAACTTTTATAATAAGCAAAAAATATGTCACGCGTGTATCTTATCACATCTATGATACGAGAAATCTCGCTATTTTCTCCAGAAAAGAATTGAATTATTATTTACGAATGAATTAGGAAGCAGTAAGCACTATTTGTGGTTCCAATAATACAATGCAAAGCGTTCCACATATAATCAGAATAACAGTGGCTAGCTAAACACACTGCACATAAGGATCATAGGAGCTTCAGACAGTAAAATCGATCACAGCTCCAATGTATCTTCTCAATCGATCTTAAAGACTGCGAATTTTATTCTCTATCGTTCTTTTACAGTATAGAGTAAGCTCTAATCACCTCTACAATTGGTGCACGACATAATGGACACTTCCCTCCTCTGCGAACCAACTCGTTTGCACATTTAGAACAAGTGCACATGTGCCCACATCTGCAGATTAAGACACAGAAAACATCTGTAAGGGAATATAGTTTGGCCAGAAAAATAAAATCTATACAAACTCAAAAAAACTGTACTGACATGAAATAGTATGTAATTCACCTCCTTTGTGATCCTATTAAGCCAAGAACGGTACTCTAGAGGAGGGCCATTTTATGTAAAAATTTGAGAATTTGACAATGAAATGAGTACATTATACTTCAAACTAGTATATTTGGCATAATGGGTGTGCCATGGAGTTGTGTATCAATTTTGGTAGTGCGTATAACTTAGCATAATATAATAGGTTGCCATACCTGTACAATAAAGAATCAATGTGGTTATCACAACAAACACAGCAGGTACCCTTTCTAACCTGACCCCATTTAGACCCATCCTCTGAAGTCTCTGCAATCCCTGCGTATGCACGTGCATTAATAAAAACAATTACAGCCAACAGTATATAATGGATGGCAGAAGATTTTTGCTTTTTCTAGGGCATTTAATAAGGGGGGCCATTGAAAGGGGAGTAAAACACCAGAAATGACTACATAAGCGAATGATGAAGGCAAAAACACTTTTGTAGGGCTTGAATAGGTTTATAACATCAAGATTACAAACAGACCTTGTCCACTGCCTGTACGATTAAGAGCGGCTGAGACTTCCTGTCGGACTGACCGTTGCAATTCCAGCTGCATGTCCATGCAAGCTTCTAACATCCTTTGCATGTGGTTCATTCCTTGCTGAAGTTTTGCAACATCTGCTCTCAGATCATTAATCATCTCCCACTCCTGACCATAATTAGGGAAGCAAGGATTCAATTCAAATGTGAAATTGCATAATCATAGTCTCATAAACAGTTCTACAAATAGTGGGATGGTTAATGCCTTCTGAGAATCTGGACGATCCATTAACACTCCTAACCAAACCTCCAGTCTGCTTATATTGAAGACTAAAACTAGTCAGATAATAAGTCTTAGTATTCAAAAATTACATAAATTCCAAAGCTGGAAGAATCACAAGTTAGCACAATGTAAAAGGACAGACACACAATTGTCACTATTGTATGGCTCGAGTCCTCGAGCAGATTTTTTGGTCCACTGTGATTTAGCAAAACGGGATTTTAGTTATAAACCACAGATATAGAGCGCAAGCACCAAGAATCCTGAATAGCTTCTGGACAATTTGTAGCCAATTTCACACGAGATTATGAATGACGAATATCATTGCCTAAATTCGTTGATACCAAACATCTTGAGAAGATTATTTTACTAATTACAGACAAAAAATCTTCCCTTCATATGGTACGCAAGAGAGTACATACCCCTTAACATTTGGATGTTGGATAATTCATCAAATGCAAAAGCATCTTGCACCATTTCATAAGATTCAATGAAAGAGAAGGTGCCACCTGATTCATCGGATATGGCATGCATTGCAACAGGATCGTGATCCGTACCAAAACCGAATGTGTGGACTGGAAATCTTTGCTGCTGGCTTTCATCTTGGCTTCCTCTGTTTCTAGGACAGATCGAATCAGGCATAAGATGTAGATATTCAGGATTTAGTCTGGGACTTTGTCCTGGATTTGAGGAATTTTGAATTATTGACCTACGGTAGCAAGTATCCTTCCCATCAGATAAGAATATGATGCTTGCAACTGGATTCTGCAGATGCCTTTCTTCAAGAACACGAACCCCCTTCTTCAGGCCTTCCACAATATTAGTCATACCACTTGCTTGAAGTGAATCAATAGCCCTTCTAGCATCTTCATGGCCATTGCCAGTTATTCTACGCAAGGGAAAGATTCTCCGAGCAGTAGATGAGAAAGAAACTATTGAAAGTCGGTCAGAAGGTCCCAAGTTATCTACGACAAAGTGAGCAGCTCGCTTCAGGAGATGTAACTTTGAGCCATGCATACTGCCACTAACATCTAGTACAGTAACAAGGTCAATAGGCGCACGCTCAAGGTGCCGTGCATTATCTGATAGTGGAGGTGCACGTACTCCAACAAGAACTGCAAACTGAGAGATGGATTCAGAAGCTGCAAGCACGGGACGTTCAGGAATGGACTTGATATTGACACTTTGCAGACCAGCAAGTGAAGAAGAAGAGGTAGGTTCGCTAGTGATTATGGGTAAGGGCTCATCATCAGAGAAAACAAGAGACTCGGGCTCAGATGGAGGAGTTGGCAGCGTCAGTGGTTGAGAAACATTGGAGAAGCGAGTAGGGAATTGTCGGGGTGGAACATTAGGGTCGAAGTTGGGCATAGAGACAGGGAGACAATTCCATTTTGCACGGCAAATAGGGCAATTGAAATTGCCATGTGAGACACTATTGCCAATGCAGCCAAAGTGGAACGAATGGGAGCACTCGGCTGTAAAGATGGCTTGTCCTGTTGTGACATTACCCAAGCAAATAGCACATGTATTCTGCGACAAAAATGAAATTTCAAAGCATTTAACTTACTAAAATCAATATCTGTGCAAATGATACCGTAAAACTCATAACACCAAAATTTTTCAGCTTAAGGATTTTTTTCAGCTCATCAACTATGGAAGGTAAAAGTTTAATCTAAACCAAAAGAAAAGAAAATTCTGTATACAGGTAACTATTAGATTTCATATAGTTGATATTATTATTAAATCCCATTTGTTGCTTCAAGAGATTGTTGATATCCCATCTATCAAACTACAGTCATCCATTAGTCCTACTGATCCAGAGAAGATTGGAAAACTCAGGATATTAGGGTGATGTTTCGATACATTCTGAAAAAACGATTCTGGGGTGAACTGATTAAAGACTATAATTATCATTACTTCAGCACAAGACTATTTCTTAAGCAACCTAGAATTTTTATTATCGCGCATACAACAGTAAACTCCACGTGTGAAATTCAACCTTTCCATGTAAAGACCGTACCCCTCCCCTCGTATCATAGAATTCCAAATATTGAACCAGTAAATCTACTAATAAAAATTATAAACCACTATAACCTGCAACCCATTAAGCAATCAATTAAAATTGTATTATTCTTGGAAATTCTAAAAGTCGTGATGTCAATAAATAGATCACCAAATGTTATACTTAAACCCTGCTGTGGTAACACAGTAAACCAAATATCTGTTCTCTAATCTACTAAAACAAGTCAATAAGCATCAATTTCTTTCTAAATCAGTCTGAAAACTTCAAACCCTGATAGAAACAACCAATTTTTGAAGAGTAAACGGATTTTCTTTTCAAGTCAACCAATTTACCCGATAATCATAACGGTTATAGCACCCAACACATGATCAGCGAATTCAAAGAACATCGAGAACATGAACATTCATATTTCAAATAAATATATAAAATCGTGCATATACACCCAAAAAGATAAAGAAGAAAGGGAAGAAATCTTACACTTTCTGTTGAGCTCATTTTTCTTGCGTTAGTCTTGTACTAAGGAGGTTGGTTTTTGGAATATATATTTGGAAAAGAAGAAGGATGAGGAGAAGGAGAAGGAGGAGGACGAGGAGGAGGAGGAGGAGCGCCCCATTAATTTGCCTACGTGTAGCTTTTATGTTAAGGTTCCGGAGTTGTCCTTGAATCCATCGTCTGGACGTGTCGCTTTCAAAGAAATCCTTGGTTATGCTGACTTTTTTGTTACATTGTAATTGCCGGATGAATTACTCTTCTTGTACAATCGAGGTTGACAATTCTATTAACATTGGAACTTTGGAAGCCAAATTATGTATAATTTTCTATAAAACAAGAGTGGGTAATTGCATTGTCATCTGTTCATAATATGCTCACATACAATCGCATTGAGTTCTTTTTTACTTTCAATTTTCAGTTTTCCTCTTGTAAGAGTTGTTGACTTCAAAATTTGAGCAGATCCCAATGGAACAAGTCGAGTTTCTGTCCCTTTGCGATAGTTCAATGACCCTTTGCATCTAAATTTTCGATGAGGGAGATACAAATGAAAATGACCTATGTATATACAGAGTAGAATATAAATTGGTCGGTTATATGTCATGTCATAGTTCATTATCATGTCACAATTGTTTGTAGGTTGATATTTGATTAGAATTGCTTTTTTATTGGCTCGGCTAGTTTGCTATAGCTTTCGGTTGCATCACAGTCTAAATAATGAAATATCGATTTCTTAATAAGCTCACTTAGACTAATGACTCGTCACATGTATACCACATTTTGATGATTGGTTTAGGTATGAGCAATGGTCATTAAATCAAAATCCTACTACCGAAAAAGTAAATTCATTACTTCAAGAATCAAAATAGACCAAAAACATTCGTCATATAGGGAATAAAAGTGAAATGGGCACAGCTTAGAGAAAAGAAGAAACTCATTTGGATCTTCATTAGTGATTCTTGTGTAAGGATCCATAGAAGTCATTGAAATTTTCGAGTAAAAGGATATGTTAGAGAAATTTAAAAAATAAAAAAATTTATATAAAAGACTCAGGAGAAAAATTAATCTATTTCCGTGCAAAGATTATTGACCATATTTTATGATCAAGATTGTTTTTCATCAACAAACTTGTTTAATCTCGTCAAGATTGTTAACTTTTCATCAATCGATGTCATATATTGATTTCTTTAATCTCTTCATATTTGTTGAATCACTTTAAAATTGTTAGTTCCTCCTCTAAACTTGATGAGAAATTACAACTAGATAAAATATATACGGACTTGAGAAGGTAATATGTAAATAATTAAACAGAAACATTAATGGCTGTTCTCTTTTCTGTTTCCATGCTGTTCTATGTTTTCGATTTTTCAAAACAGTAAAAACGCATTCTTTTTCCTATTTTCGAAAATGAATTTTTGAAAAAAAAAAAAAAAAAAAAAAATAAATTTTAATTTTAATTAAAATATTAAAAAAAAAAAAAATATATATATATATATATATATATTGAAAACTCAAAACGTCATATTTGACATTTTGAGTGTTTTCAGTACAAAACGCGGCAAACATTGAATGGTCCTATATATAGTTTGTACAGATGTAAACTATTTATAAGTAAACTAGGATGAAGCTAAAAAATTATGTTGGAAGATCTAATATATAGTCATGAACCGGGCTCTCCATTAATATACTTATCATTATGTTTTATGATCAACACCATAATAGAATAATACTCTTGTTTCGCGCGGATAGTCGCTAACAATTAAAAAGGGATCAGATGATTGTGTAAGGGACAAACCTCTTGAGACAAAGTCCTAAAAAGGGGTGTTTTATTGGCAATGACTTTACAATTGGAACTTAAACAGAAATGCCTACAAGGAGCGCAAGCACACGAGTACTGAAAAGAAATGTTATAAGTCTAAACTAAGAAATTGAAATTATATATTCTCTGTTTGAGAGTGTTTGATTCGAGGTCTTTTGCTCTATGTCTTTTCTTCCTTTTATATTCTTTTGATGCTCTCTTTATGATCAACCGTTTAGAAATCGCTTAATTGCTTTATAACTACCCACTTTCTTTATGGTGGCCAACTTATCGTGGAACTGCCGTCTCTAACTACTGCCATTACTCTTTGACGTTCAACCGTCCTCAACTGAACATCCTTGAATCGTGGAACGTGATAAGATTACCCAATAACTACTTCGATAATTGCACTTTTGGATAACCATAGCATCTCATGTTTGCTAAGATCCTGGGCGATTCGAAAGTTTGGGCGAGAACAGGGTCATAACTCTGGGCGACTGAAAGGTATTTCATTCGCTCAGATCCTGGGCATTTTGTAAGTTTGGACGATGGTGTTACGTTCGTGGGCTTCCACTGCATTCATTAATAATCCTATTTGGGCCTTTATCCTGAATTGCCTAGTTAGGCTTCATTCTTTGGACTATTTGAATTGGGCTGCACTTTTAGCATGTCAACAATTACCCCCCAATATGACAGAATTAATACCAATTATTAATTTTTGCCATATTCACTTTGTGTTTCCCAGCAACATTTGAGATTCCCAAGAATTTCAATTATTATTTTCTTCCATAGCCTGAAAAGGTGCGACGTTGCAAACCCTTATAACCCCCAAATTGCCATTTCATCGCACTATTAAATCACGCCTCATTGCTTCGTGCTTCTCTCTCGCAATATTACTGTTCATCTTCTTGCTTCTCTGCTATGTTTTTCAAGCAAACTTCAACAAAGTTTTTTTTCGTTCCTAATGACTGCTTCACAATCCCAATCTAGTGACTCTTTCAATTTCGAAGACTTCCAGAAACTCCTCACTCGGTCATATATAACTCCTAACTTCTTTGCACCAGTCAATGCCGAACTCAACGAGTTCTATCTAGATCCCTCATTCAATAACGCCGAGGCCGTCGAACAAGTGGCGGTGGGCCAGCTGTTCCCTTGTACTCAAGGCCCTCCGTTTCTAAACTCTTTGCCGCTGAGGCCGCTTCGCGAAAGAGGTATTCGCACTTGGCCTAAATCTGATGTTGTTTTCTGTAGATGGCATGCTCGCCTTGTGAACCATGGTCCTACCAAGATAATTTTTGATAATGCTAGGATTTCTGATTTGCTAGAAATCTCTCTTCAACCCCCTATTTTTGATTCAGCGCTTTTCCCTATTGCATTAAGTTTTTGGTCCTTTGAGTATAATACTTTTGTTTTCCCTCTTAGTCCCATGTCCATTATTAAGGGATGTTGGAGCCTTAGTAAATTTACCACCTTTGGGCGATACCATTTTCCCTGGTATTTTGATTTCTGGTGTCGCCCCAAAATTTGACAAAAAACTTACCGAGTCCTATTTAAGCCTGCAAAGCTGTTATAATCACTCGAGCGTTGAGCCTTCTCATGCTGAGCGTGTGACCTTTCTTCAGATTTGACTTTGTAAATATATTCTGTGTGTGCCAAGCCTGAAACCTTCTATGAGCTATTTACCCATAGCACACGAATTGACGCGTGGTAGGCCTCTGAATTTGTGTTCTTTCTTTTTGGCCGCCCTCTATAGAGGCATGGCTTTTCTCCAATTCCAATTGAAGAATGGTGCATCTCTCACTGGCAGTGGACTTCCTTGGTTCACTCAAATTCCTTTCCCTTCATTCTGCTAGTTGCTATGGGCTAGCTATTGACCCACTGAGCCCTGTACATATGTCCAAAAGGGATATTTTTCATTCTTTTATACATTGAATTCAATTCCTTCTTTCTTTCCTTTTCCTCCCTTTTTAACTCCTGATTATGTGCATCCTCCATCTACCCTGGACAATGCAAGCACCTCTCTGTTCGTTTGGGTTCAATTTTTGACTAGGAGGAATTTGTTCTATGATATTTTGACTGGAACTAATGCCAAAGTTGGGGTTGAAATATATGCTCCCCAATTTTTTGCTCGTCAACTTGGTTTCGGCCAAACTTGGCCTGTTCCCCCTTGTTATTCAAAAAATTTGATAGATCGCTTCTACACCATAAATAAGGCAGAGGCAGAAGTTATAAATGCTCGCAATATTCTTTTGACGAGTAACTTTTCATTAGCTCATTTCAATCCTAGCCATGTCACCCATCCCCTTGTTGAACAAATCTGGTCATCAGTGCAGCGGAGATTGTTTGCAACTGATGCCAATCGTGCTTTCCATTCACTGGATCAGCCGGACATTTCTTCCACTTCCCCTGTTTTGGTCACCCTTGTGTCCATTAGGAGTCCTTCCTCTTCTGCTCGTGCTAAACAGTCTGTTCGTTCATCTACTTCCCTTCCTGCCAAGCCTACTGCATCTAAAAGTATCCCAAGCCGCAAATGGCCAGCTTCAGCATCTCCCATTTTGGAGGATGATGATGATGATGACACTCCTCTCATTGTCAGGAGAAAGGTAATTAAATTAGTTTACTCACAAGCATACCTTTCTATACTTGAAACATTTCTATGCGCTGATGGTTTATTCGAATTTTTCAAAAAAGCTCAGCCTCTCCTTCGAAGGCTTTGGTGTTGGTAGCTCCTGCTCCATCACCCTCTGCTGAGGCTGCTTCATCCAAACCAGCTGATGAAGGGACTACGCTTAAAGAGAAACCTTCAGTCCCGAAATCCTCATCACAACCAATGGATGAGCCACCTTCTTCCTAGGGTGTCAACCCCTTAAACGTTGAACCAGAAGGTAATACATTTTTTGATGTTTTACCTTTGCTTATGCTATTGATTTTTGATTTGTTGCTTTTTGAGTTTTGCAGATACTCCCATGGGTTTGCCCATTGGAGCAAAGTCTTCTCGCTCAAACAAGGGAACGTCTTCACAAGTGGTGGAGCCACAGGTGGTAGATTTGGCTGGGGATATGCCACCTCTCAAGATTGCTGATGAGGTAATCTCTGCTTCACTTTTACTTCCACTTTGTTCATTGTAGTGAAAACTTTCAATGTTGGTAACTTTCTTTGCAGGATGCTGATAAGATTGTGCATTCCATCCAGGACTTGTTCACGTTCTGGGGGCAAGTCAAGACGTCTCGCCCTGCTTCAACCAGTCGTCCTTCTGCTTCTTCAGAGAAAGATATGAAGTTCATCAAGCAGTCAATATTTGAGTATGTGTCCTTTATGGATATGGATATC